GATAGGTGGATGGATGGACGGGTGGAGGATGAACAGGTGGATGGATGGATGGACAGGTGGACGGATGGGTGGGTGGATGGGTGTGGGATGGGTGCAGTGAGGGCTGTCCCACCCCACCCCGGTGCCCCGCTGCTGTGGGTGCCGTGCCCAGCCTCCACATTGCATGCGCTGTGCGTTCCAGTGCCACACACAGTGTGTACAATGCAGCTGCTGGACAGGCAGCTTCTCCCCAACCCCTGCTCTCCTCTGGGCCTTTCCCCGTGTCCGTGTCTCCCAGCAGCTGGAATCACGGCTCCAAGCCGGGAGGGAGGGAGGAGGTTGCAGAGCAACTGCTGGGAGAGGGTTTGTGGATAAAGCCCTGGGGGAATTTGGTCTCAGCTCCCTGGGGTTTAAAACCCTCTCTGAGGAACAATGCACGGGTTTAATCAACTCCTCTGTGTCATGTTTTCCTGATATTAAATGCTCTGGAAGGGCTTTTCCAACCTCAACGGTCCCACCATTCCATGACTTTTCACGTGGGAAGTTTAACTCGCCAGAGAAAGGGAAAGCTGGAACTCCAGGAATTACCTGAGAGCCCAAGTGGAGTTACACTGACAGAGAAACAAAACCTGAGGCAGGGGAAAGGGAGGCAGGGAATTGGTACCACTGGTATTCCTGATGTTAAATAGGGATAACAACACCCTCTGATGCCTCTGCTCCTGTTGGGTACAAATTCCCTCAGGGAAGGATGATTCCTGCTTAGATAAACAGGGGATTTTTGGACCTGAGCACCTCTGACAGTCTCACACCATCCCATTTATCTTCTCCAATCCCCTGGAGCTGAAATCCAGTGCGGTCCAGCTGCAGGGAATTACCACGGTGTGAAGGAAAAATGCCAGTGGGATCAGCTTGGGTTTCCCAGTTATTGGTCACGGCTCTCGGGCTTTCCTCCCAAAACAGCTGCTGGGGAATTTTTTCGTTGCCCAGAATGTCACTATTTATTTAATTTTCTCGGGTCCCTTTCTGCCATCGGGGTCTCCCTGGGAAGAAGGGAATGAGGACTTTTGATGGAGCTGAGCTCCCCTGTGCCAGCAAGGTTGTGGATTGAAAAGGCCCGACAGAAACCCTTGGATTTCACATCAAAGAGTAACCAAATATCCCAGTTTCCTCAGCAGTCTGGAAATAACACCTCGGAGGGTGATTTTTGCACCCCGTTCCCAGCTTGGAGATTTCCAGGCAGGAAGAATCCAACGCCGGTTATTGTTATGATATCCCAGTTTTTAGGGCAAAAATCACCTTTTCTGTACCTTTGTGGAATGTCATAATTATTTCTCCCCGACTCTGTGCCCTTCCCTGTGGTGTGGGCAGGATCCAGTGCAGGGAGATGGAGTTTTTCCACTGATTCCAGTGGCTCCTGGACTGGTTTGCCCCTTTCCAGCGCCCAAAAAACTATCCAAACAATACGTGTGTGTGAACATTATCATGCTAATCCAAACACAGGCAGCCCAAATGCCACCGGGAGGGGTCCTGTGTTCTCATTCCAGAGGAATTTAAATGGAGCAGCCTCAAACTCTTGGAAGCACATCCACGGTGGGTGTTGTGACAGGTGGGACTGGGGCTCTGCGGTTACTCTGATAAAATGATTATTCCCTGGCAGTGGTTGGGGGGGAATTAATGAGGGCAGCTCCTGCCTTGTGGGGCTGGTTTCCTTTGGCTGAGTTCTGAGCAGCAGAGGGTTGGTTTTTCTCGTGAAACATATGGCATTATTTTCCTCCTGCTTCCCTCTCTTCCCTCAGAATTCCCTCTGGGGAATCGATTCTTTAAGTCTCTGCTCTGTGCAGTTCAATGGCATTTTCTGAGAAGTAAATTTTACTTGAAGGTTTGGAAGAAGATGGGTTTGGTTTTTTTTTGTTTTGGTTTTTTTTTGTTTGTTTGGTTGGTTTTGGGTTTTTTTGGTTGGTTTTTTTGTTGTTGTTGTTGTTGTTGTTGTTTTTCAATTTAATTTAATTGATTTGGGGGTTTGTCCACTTGTTTTAAAAAAAGAGGTGACACCTGAAGCCCTCTGTGTCCCACAGCAGCCGAGGTAGGAAATGCCCCATCCACAGAACAGAATCCCAGAATGGTTTGGGTTGGAAGGGACCTTAAAAGATCATCTCATTCCAAGCCCCTGGACACCTTCCACTAGCCCAGGTTGCTCCAAGCCCTGTCAAATATCTATCTATTTATTTTCTTTTCCCCAAAACATTCCAGCTGTCCAGGTCTGGACTTTTCCTGAGAGATGGATTCCATATTTGAGGCTCATTTTTATACCTCCCATCCTTATCCTACGGCAGCACCAGCAGTTTCTGACCTCATCACCAACTGAAGGAGCTTCTCCCCATATCCCACTTGGGAAGGAGGAAAGCTGGGGAGACTCCTGCAGGCTGGCCTGAATCCCAGAAACCTCCAATCCTTCATAAACTCGATCCTGCACTACCTGGCTTGCTTGGAAACAGCTTCTTTTCCCTAAGAAATCCAGCTCTGGGATGGGGCTGGCGTGGTGAACACATGAACCTCGTCCCAGGCTGCAGCCAGGATGTGGCCAGGTGCATTTTAAACCTGGAATGTGGGAAGCAGGCCTGGGCCACACAGTTTAGAGCAACCACAGACCCCCCCCTGACCAGGTTTTTCCTGCTGGGAGCTCCTGTGTGGACCCACAGCCCATCACTCTTCATTATGTCCTCAGGGATCATCCAAGACACTTCCCGTGCTCCCTCCCACTCCACAGGCTCCGGGACAACTGTGGGCACTTGTTTTATTGTCCTGAGCCTCCCAGCACCTCATAACTCCTTGGAAGCTAAAAAACTAAGGCCAGAAGGGAACAGAAATCACATTTTTGTCTGAAATGTGGGTGCCCACAACCCCTCCTCCTGCACCCACATCCCGCCCCTTCCTCAGTCCTCATGGAAAAGATGCCCAAGTTGAAAGAAAGGGAAGGAAAAAAAAAAAAATTAAGCTTTCCCCACAAATTGCAGGTTTCCACCGGTGCTCCATGAAACCTCAGGGAGCTTTTTAAAGCAGCTGAGGTTGGAGGAAGGAAATCAGAGCTTTGGGAGCAGATGCTCAAAGCCTCAGGCAACTTTCTGCCCCTCCAGCCCGATGGGAATGCTGGGAAGAGATGGGGAGGACTCAGAGGGTCCTTAAATGCCAAATTTAGCCCTCCTGGAAGGATGGCAGGATGGGAGGGTGGGGAGGCACTGCCAGAGAAGCTGTGGCTGCCCCATCCCTGGAATTGTCCAAGGCTTGGATGGGGCTTGGAGCAACCTGGGCTAGTGGAAGGTGTCCCAGCCCATGGGAGTAAAAGGTCTTTAAGGTCCCTTCCAACCCAACCCACTCTGGGATTCCCTGACTCCATGTGCTGTCTCTCCAAGCCTGGGCTGATCCTTCCAGAGACCCTGGAGGTGCCAACAGTGGGAATCCCACACTTCAGAAGGGATAAAGCTTTCACAAGGAGGGAAAACCTGTCCTTGCAAGAGTCACTGGGGGGCTCTGACGCTCATCCTGTATTTATTTATAATATCCCTTCTCCTGTATTTATTTATATCCACGACCTGCTTCCAAAACTCCTTCCCAGAGGCTTCTCCCAGGGGAGCTGTGAGGAGCAGCCACGACTTACCCCAGCCAAATAATGTGAATCCCCAAAGATATTTCTTCTCTGAGAAAAATGCCATGAAGATGAGGCTGTGGAGATAGAGCCCTTCCACCAGGATCCAGTAGTAATTGGTTGCCAGGAAGTAGAGGAAGAAGGTAACAGCTACTTTACAGCCCACCTGCAACGAGCACAGAAGGACAGGAAGGTGTGTGAGGAACACGGGGTGGAATTCCTGTTCTGCACAAAGACAGAATGAACCAACACGGGGTGGGAAACAAGGTGGAGAAAGGAAAGAGTCAGTCAGGCAGTTCTGGTGGCTTTTATAAGGGGGAAAAATCATCACAAGAACAGAAGAGGTGACCAACTGAGAAAGCAGCCCAGCCAAACTTCGTTTTTCCAGTAGCAGGAGAGTTGGGAGTTGTGGGGAACCTGTGGAGAGATGATGGCCTGATCCTCCTCTCTGCCAACCTACTGATGAAGGATTCACACAACTTGTAGGTCAGCTGTGTTTCCTCTTTTCCCTGTGTCCCTTGTCCACCCCAGAGCACAAAGGGCTGAGGCTTAGTTGGCTCGATCTGGGTGACCCAGCGCGAGTCCCATCTCTTGGAGCTACAACCCTTTCCTCAGCTCATGGAGGGATCTTATGGATCAAGTCACCCCATCCTGCCACGGATGTCCAAGCCAGGATCCTCCAGGGCTGCCTGTCTGCCCTCAGCAGCTGAGTGGCTGCTCTGGGCTCTGGAACCTGGGCCTCCAGGAGCAAACAGGACCTGGAGGTTCTCACCCACCATCCCAAGGTGCTTCTGAACAGAGCTGAGCTGCCAGGGGGGAAGATCTGCTGGAGACCTCCAGGACACACAGATGTGGAATGAGCTGAGCTCTCACCCCACACAGGGCTGAAATTCTTTGCATTCTAAAGGAAAACCCCGACTGTGACCCGAAAGTCCTTGAGGCAGAGAGGGCAAAGCCACCCGTCCTCCAAATGTCTCAGCTCTGGCAGAGAAAGGCTGGACAATGTTGATGCCACGTAGGGTTAAATGGCACAAAGGGGCATGTAAAGCCATCTCTTGCCAATGTGGACCTTCATGGAGTCTGGGAAGTTGGATTTCACGGGAAGCCTGTGACTTCCAAACACGTCCCGTGGCAGCATCACATCTCCAGGACATCCCTTCCTTTGAGAGGAGCACAAGTGACTGGCAGGAAATGTCAATAATATGCACCTTGTAAATAAAAAAGGGATTTTTTTTATCCTGGCACGGCTCTTATGCTAATCCTCTCTCAATCAAAATGAATATGCACATATTGTATCCATATATCCATATATTTGTCTGGCAGTAAGATATGGACACATTTTCTTTTACAGAGTGAGTTAAAATAGAAGACCAATTAAAAATCCCCTTCTAGGTGGGATTAATAATAATTTTTACGTATTTTTATGTTTTATATCTAGTAAATTTTGTATTCTATATTTCTATTTTATATTTATAAAAATACACCATGTACCCCCCCACAGGGAGCATCAGGCAATAATTGCAAAGCTCCCACTTCCCTTGGAAACAAGAGAAATACATTAATTGCTGCCTTCATCACTTATTTTCCTTTCAATCCAGAAGAATGGGAGATGCCATTAAAATGCTAATATTCAAAGAATGCCATTTATTATCCCAATTATTCCTCTGAATGAGTCCAGCCCAAGGAGAAACAGAAGACAATGCAGTGAAACGTTTGGGGTTCTTCCCAAAAAGTGAGTGTTTTGAAGTGTGCTGAGTTCTCAGCCAGTTAATGAGATGGATCTTGGAATGGGAAGGAAACACAAGCCCAGATTTCCATTTGGGATGACTTGGATGCACAGTGGGACACTCCACAGGCACTGATTGGATTCAGGGTGTTGCTGGTGGGTCCCTGGTGGGGGCAGGAGCTGTGAAAGACTTGAGAAGCCACATAAATGTGAGGGCAGGAAGTTTATCCCAGAATCATTGAGGCTGGAAAAGCCCTCCCAGATCACCAAGTCCCCCCTGTGCCCGATGCCCACCTTGTCCCCCAGCCCAGAGCACTGAGTACTCTTGGAGGTCTTTTCCAACCTCGATGATCCTTTGGTTCCAAGGTCCCTCTCTTTTGCAGAAGAGCCCCACCCTTTCTTATGCCAGCACATAATCCCTCCTTTTTCCCACCTAAAATGCCTTTTTTTCATATGGGAGTGATAAAAATTGTGCATTCCCCATCCCTGGAAGCGTCCAAGGCCAGGTTGGAGCAGCCTGGTCTAGTGGAAGGTGTCTCTGCCCATGGCAGGGGGTGGGACTGGATGATCCCTAAAATCTTTTCCAACCCAAAGCATTCCATGATTCCGTGGTAAATCCCAACAGGAACAACCAGTTGTGGTTTGCTCCAAAATTAAAGCGAGGTGAGGTGTCCTCTGGTGACCTTCTTCTTCAGGAGAAGGAGTTGGGGCTGAGACCCTCCCACGACACAGTGGCTTTGCTACATCTGGGCTGTCACTTTTGGGGGCACAGATGTCCCAGCCAAGTGATGCCTCCATGGGGCATCCAGAGAGGAGCTCCCAGTGGAAAACCAGCCAGTTGTGGTGGGAGAAGAACACGGCGGAACACGAGCACTGGTGGGAGAGTCAGGAATGTTCCCAGAGCCAGAAAACTCAGGGGACATCAGGGGAGTGTTGAAAACGGGAGTTGTGGATGGGAATCAAAACATCAGCCATGAGAAACAGCTCTTCCTTAGCTCAGGGGTTGGGAAATCCCTCTGGATTGAGAGGGAGCGGGAAGGGATGGGGCAAAGGCTGTGGAAGGGGAAGGAGGTGGAAAATCCCCCCGAAAAAAAGCAAAGCGCTGACCAGACAGGACAGAGCCACGAAGACCAGAGAGCCACCTGCTCCGGGGGTACTCACAAACTGCGACTTGTCCGCTGGAGGTGCCTCAGTGATGGATTTCAAGTCCTCCTCCGAGATCCTCTCCATCTCCTCCAGGGCCGAGCCCGAGTAGAGCACGGCGTCCTTCACGAAGATGCTCACGGCCCTCAGCATGAAGGACACGAACAGGTGCATGTGGATGTAGTTCCTAGTGCAGTGCAAACGCCTGCAGGGGACACAGAGAAGGGTTGGGGGAAGTTTAGCCTGGCTGGGAGACGTTCTTGGGGTCATCTCTGCCTCCAAAGAGCCCCCCCGGCTCCTCTCGGCGCCGCGGTGCCGCTGTGGCCACCCCACGCTCACCGCTCCCCCACGGACATTAACTCCTGCTCCAGGGGGCTCCTGGAATCGTGGAATCATGGAACAGGTTGGGTTGGAAGGAATCTTAAAGGTGATCTCGTTCCACCACCATGCCATGGGCAGGGACACCTCCCACTAGCCCAGGTTGCTCCAGCTTGGCCTTGGACACTTCCAGGGATCCAGGGGCAGCCACAGCTTCCCTGGGAAATCCATTCCAGGGCCTCCCCACCCTCACAGGGAAGAATTCCTTCCTAAAATCTACTCTAAACCAACCCTTTTTCAGTTGGGAGCCATTCCCCCTTTCCCATCCCTCGATGCCCTTGGACCCCAAGGACGTCAGAACTTGTGGCCACTTGAAAACCTCGCCAAGGTTCCTGTGAAGTGCTGATTTTTGTGCCCACGCCAAATTTGGCAGCAACTACAGGAGTAACTGAAGTGTTGGGGTGTTTTCCCTGTTTTCCCTGTTAAAAACATTCTCCTTTGCTTGCTCATGTTGAGCAGGTTTTGGGCTCCACCCCAGCAACGGCAGCAAGGACCCCACAAATGCTGGTTGTAAAGCGCTTTAAGATCCTTTTTGGGGGAAAAGCTGGATGGGGAGAGGTCAGTGGGTTGGACCCACAGGTGAGAGGTGCATTTGGGAACCAGAGATCGTGGGTTTGGGGAGAGGAAGGAATTAGTTGACCTCTTGGGGTCCCCTCTGTCCTCTAGAGCTCTGTTGCCTGGCTGGCCACGCATGGATTTATGGATGGATTAACATCCTCTTAAATCCCCAGCTCCAATGACGGAAATAAAAATTAAAAGCTGCAGTTTTGTCTCCTTTGGAGGATATTATGACAGTAATAACAGTTGTTGTCTGGGCTATTATAATCTAAGTTACACCAAGTGGAACTGATGAGGTAGAAATGAAGATGGGCTTTGTTCCCTGCATTTGAAATGGAGCCAGTGAATCTCTGGATTATGTGTTATCTGGGATAAAACCTGGCTTGATCCCTGCTGCTGCTTTGATCCTTGGGATAAAGATGTTCTAGCACAGTTGTCTGTGTTGTCTGGGCTGTAAATGAAGTGCTCTGAGAACATGAACAAAGAGGGAAACTAGGAATACTCTTGAACTCCTGAAACTGGGAATGCTCTTAGATACATGGACATGGGATATTTTAACAACCTTGCCAATGTCCAGCGGGCAAGGAGACGGAGGGAGAAGGTTGGGAGAGCAGGAATGTGGTGGCAGGGATGGGGTCTGGCACTGCCTCCAGGAGGGGTCTGCAGTCCCCTTGGCCCTGTGTGTCCCAAATTTGGGCTCTGCTGTCCAAGCACATCCCCCTGAGCCCCCTTGGCTCCCTGCAGAGGGGCCTGAGCCCTTTCAGAGCCCAAAGCCCCCCATTTTATTCCCAGTGGTTCCTGTTTGGGGTCTGGCTCCAGCTCCACGTGCAGACACCACGTGGTGTGTCCAGCACAGGCAGAATTTCCCCCCTCAGCTCTTGTCTGGCTCCTGCTGTTTTCCAGGAGAAGATGTGACCAGACCCTGAAGGGAAGCAGATCTGGGGCTGGGGGGTTGGGAGTCAGCCCCCTGCTCTATTCCCAGCTCTCCAGGTGTGGCTTCCCAAAGGACAAAATCCTAGAAGTGGTGACACCTTTCATCCCTCCCATCCCACGCTCTCCGTGCCAGCGAGAATCACAGAATCCTACAGTGCTTTGGGTTGGAAGGGACCTTAAGGATCACCCAGTGCCACCCCCTGCCATGGGCAGGGACACCTTCCACTAGCCCAGGTTGCTCCAACCTGGCCTTGGACACTTCCAGGGATGGGAGATGCAACAGGAGCTCTGAGGAATGGATGCTGTGGGTTCAAAGGGGTATTTAGGGGTCTCCATCCCTTGGCAGAGGGTGGTGGAAAGACAGGGGAGAGCACCAGAGTCAGGAGGGTGAAGGGGGATTTTTGGATCCCTGGGAACAGCAGCAGGGGGAGGTTGGAGGAATCAGCTTGGGATGGTTGGGGTTCCCTTCAGCTGCTCTATCCTTCATGGATGTTTGGGGTTGGAGTGGAACTTCCCTGGGGAAACTGTAACTACCTCAAAAAATTACCATCTAAATCCCAGCCGGGTGGGGAACAGGGGCAGAAAACCCCAGAGGGTTTTCCAAGGGGGACCAACCTCTTCCTGGAGATTCCCCTCTTCCCCCTTTGCTACAGAGGGTCTGGAAAACTCCTCCACAGGGAAGAGGAAGAAGTTCAAACACCCCACCCACCATCCCCCAGGAAGTTTGACCTGAGGCGACGCTAACACAGCCCAAATCCCGGACGGAACCGCTCCTGGAATTGCCACCCCAACCTGATCCTGGGGGAGAGCCCGAGGCTTTTTCCCTTAAGGTAAAACCAGAGCCGCCTACCTGAAGTATCCCAGGATAAGGACAGCAACTGTGAGGGATCCCAGAGAGATGGAGTATCCAACAGTATAAATCAAATAGAGGCGATCAAAGACCTCCTGCAGCAGAAACGATGGAAAAAATAGCGTCACATTGGGAACGCGGCCTCCTGACGGGGGGACACGGGGACTCGGACACCCCCGGGGCTGGGAATCCTTGGGAATCACAGCCTTTGGGCACCCTGGGAAGGGCTGGTTGTGTTTCCTGACGGGATTTCCTGACGGGGTTTCCTGGGAGGGCAGGAATTTTGCGGGGAATAGGGGTGTGGGGGGGTTAATCCCTCGCCTGGGAGTTCTGCAGCGTTTTCAACCCGAAGGAACCCAAAGCGCTTTACAAACTCTCAGCCCCGTCCAGAGATTGCTTGGATCTCCACAAGGACAAACCTTTGGCTTGGACAGAACGCCCACGAACCCGGGATTCGGGCTGGAATTGTACAATTTAGCCATTGCTGACTGATGCTGGTCCAGCCCACCCCAGAAAACACGGGCAGGATAAACTTTGGCTCTGGGATACGAGGGGAAAAACAAAAAAAATCACCTGCATTTATTTTTCCCCTTTTTCAAATCCAAAGCTGCCTCTGCCTGTGGTTATCCAACCCAGACACAACCTGAGCTTGCCAAGGGCCCGTTGGAAAAGGTCCTGTCACAGGAGAGCTTGTAGGAATTAATCCTCTGAGAGGTTTTAGTTCTCTTGGCTCTCTGTATTTTAAAGCTGGGCTTAGAAACCCTGAGGTTTCCATTAAATAACAAGATGTTTTCCTTCATCCTGTGCTGGGACATGCAGCTGAACTCAGGGATTCCTGGATATCCACCTGGAAAGGGTTAAAATTCCTGCCACCAGCCCAGTTTGTGCTGCCTTGAACTGCCTGAAATTAGAAATAAACCCCAAAGAAACCAACCAATTCAGCATCTTTCTCCCTCCTGCGCTGCCTCCCGCCTTTCCCTCACCCCACCCACCGGGATGCAGGAACACTGGGCTCGGAATGACGGCCCTGGTTGGGATTGGAGGCTTGAAATGCTGGCCTGGAATGGGAAACCTCAGCCCTATGACATCAGAATCCCCAGATATGGGAATGTTTCTCTGTGGTTTCCATTGGCGGAGTGGAGTGTTTGCCAATATTAATTTAGTGTGTGTGTCTGGGCGTATTTATATATATATTTTTATATATATATATATATATATATCTGTACATATGTCTGTGCAGGCAGCAGGCACTGAAAAGCCAGTGGGAGTAGATTTGAAAGCTTTGGGGGAAAAAGTGCAATTTTCCTGCTGCCAAGCTGGAATCCTCTTTGAGCTGGGAAACATTTGCCTCCGGAGGGAAAATATTATTATTATTATTATTATTATTATTATCATTAATATTAATATTAATATAATAATAATAATAATAATAATTCTGCTCCAAGTTTAGGATTTCTGGGAATCCAGCATTTGTGAGGGATTCCTGTGCCCAGCTGGATAAAAGGGTCCCTGAGCCCCACTGAGAAATTTAACTGGGAAGATCCACGTTCCTGCCGGACAACGACGGTGTTGTAGCAGGAATGGCCCTGGGAAGAGCCTCCTGATTGGCTGGCAGGACGTTTTGGGAGGCTGTGGTTAATTCCTCTGATTAACCACAGGGCCTCTCTTTGGAAGGACGAGGAGTGAGAAGTGCCAGGACACACAAATCCACGGCTCCCAGCACGCTGGTGTTCAATCCTGCCGATGGAGGAGGCACAGATCCTACTCTGGGAAAGGGGATTCTCTGGATGGGCTGCTTAGATCCTCAGGGAAAAGCCTCAGGAGCAAAAGATCGAGGTTCTCCAACAGGCTCTGTTCCCAGGAGTTTGTCTCAGGAATCACCATTTTGCCCTGGGTTTACCCAGAGGGAAAAAGTGATATTTAGGGATCTCCATCCCTTGGCAGGGGTGGGGGAGAGGGAGGGGAGCCAGTCAGAGTTTGGAGGGTGAAGGGGGATTTTTTGCTGCCTGGGAAGAGCAGCAGTGTGGGGAGGTTGGAGGATGGGTGGCTGGGCTTCCCTTCAGCTGCTCTGGAGGGGGAAAAATCCCTCCAGGCAATTCCAGGTCCCGCTCATCCAGCACCAGGGAGGTCCCAGCTGGGTGGGAACCACGATGCTGAGTCAGGGAAGGTCCTCCAGGTGACAAAATATTGAGTCATCTGCCAGCTGCAACAACCACCTCCATGGGCTGAGATCCCTCTGAGAGGGACACGAGTGGAAATCATTCCCAGAAGACCACAAAGGTCGGGATGGCCAAGCCATGGACACAACCTGGACTTCCACAGTCTCCAGTTCAGTACTTCTGAGACCAGGAGGAGCTCTGATGGCTCCTAGAAATCCACCCTGAGGACACCCAGACCATCATTGGTCACCCACTGACCTGTTGGAAGGGGCAAAAATCTGGCCTTGCCACACCTTTAGACCCTGGTTTAAGAAGTGTGATGTTTTAACCAGTGTAATTTAATTTAATTATCATTTATTTTAAGTGTTCAAGGCTGGGAGCAACCTGGGCTAGTGGAAGGTGTCCCTGCCCGTGGCAGGGGGTTGGAATGAGATGAGCTTTAAGGTCTTTTCCAACCCAAATCAACCCAGGAATCCACGATCCTATGAATTTGATTCCTTCACTCTTTCACCTGCGGACACAAGTGCTCTGGAAAATAGGAAAAGCTGAAAATAAACTAATGGAAAACCAGAAGGACAAAACTTCAACGTCTGGGATTCCAGGGGTTGGGATTGTCAGTAAAGTATTATAAACCCCATAACAGAGCACCAAGATTAGGGAACATCAGCTTCAGAGGTGAGGGCCTTGAACATCCCCCTTTGCCCACTCCATCCATTCATGGAATGATAGAATTGAGGTTGGAAAAGCCCTCTGAGTCCAACCATTGACTGCCAAGGCCTCCACTGGCCCATGTCTCCAAGTGCTACATCCCCACGGCTTTTAAATCCCTCCAGGAATGGGGACTCCAGCCTGTGCCAGGGCTGGACAGCCCTTTTCAGGAAGAAATTTTCCCAATATCCCACCTGAACCTCTTGAGGTCATTTCCTCTCCTCCTGTCCCTCATTCCCTGGGAGCAGAGCCCGACCCCAGTTGTCCCTCCACGTGTCTCAGGTCATTTTAGTCCCCCAAGTGTCCTGCTTGGCTTCCAGCTGCCTTTGCAGAAGGGAGGAGTTTCCTGAAGGTCCCAGGAATTGTATCTGCAATTCCCATGCAGTTGTCTCCCAAACCTGAGGACATCTCATCTAATTCCAGGCCTAACCCTCATCTCTGTTCCAGCATCTGGATGAAACGTTCAGGGTTTTGGTGTCCACGTGTCCTGGTCCCTCCCAGTGTCCCAGGGAGGGACTGAGACAGGAGATTCCTACAAGACTGATGGCAAATCCTATTCCAAGTGTTATTGTGGATACCCTGGGCCTGACTTTATCCTTCCCTCCTTTTTATTTGTGAGACAACAGCAAAATTCTGCACCATTTGTTTCATGAAGCTGAACTGGATCCAGTGATCCTTTGAGGAACTGGCAGGCTCTGCTGGAGAGTGGGATTAGTGGGATAGGAGGATGGAATCACAAGGAAGGGCTTTCCAGATGAAGTATCTCCAAAGTTTCTCCAAGCTGCTGACTCAGACGTTGTTAATGACACGTTTGGAATCAGCAGGGGAAGTGTTTCACTGCTTGCAGTGATAAGCAAAGCCAGAAATCCTCCGGGTTTGCTTTTCTTGCCTTTTGTTGTTTTTTTTTTTTAACAGCAAAGTTGTGACTAAATAAAAAGCTTAATGGGATGTGCACAAAAGGCACAAACCAGCCACTGATTTCCAAAGCCTCGGGGAAAAAACACTGAGGGTCAAACAGGAATTTTGGCTGCAGGATTCTGTTCCTTTCATCCCTAGAAGTGCCGGGCACTTAAATCCTCCCAGTCTGGATAAAGAGCGGGATCAGCTCTGAGATAAGACACCCCAGTTTAGACTCAGACACCCCAATTTAGACCAAGACACCCCAACTTAGATGTGTAAACATGCACATCTTTGTGATCTTTATGGCCCCTTCCAACCTAAAGCATTCCAGGATTCCCTGATTCTATTCCCAGTCCTGCTCTGTGGGCACAAAACGAGCAGGGACACCACAGGGTGGCTGCAGCAGCGAAGAAAACCTCTCCAGGAGGCTTTTTTTTGCTCTGCCCCTCTGTCCTGGTGCAAAGGGCTGCCCCTTTGCTGGCATTTCCCGGGATAATTCTGCAAACAGGGCTCGGGGGCCTCACAAAAAGCTGTTTGCTTTTCAAAGGAGCCCCGGAGAGCCCCGGAGAGCCCCGGGAACACAGCGGATTGTTGGTGGGACAATGGAGTTTAGATAAAGCAGCCCTGCCCCACGCTGGGCCATCCCCATTGTGTTGGGGGTGGGATGGAGCCTCCGGGCCTCTCTGGTTTCCCTGGAAGCAGCAAACCCACCAGGCTCTAACCGAGCAGTAGCACATGAAGACAGGATTGGTGGGGCTGAGGTTACATCTCACGATGGTCCCTCTTGCTGGTGGTTTCCGAGCCGAGCCAACCTCCCAAGTTGCTGGCTCGGATCCCCCCTTCTCCCTGATTTCCGTGGATGTGGATGGCGTTTACCCTCGAGCTCATCCCTGAAAACGGGGTGAGCTTTAAAAATAGATGAGTTTGGCAGCGGTGCTGCTGTGGGGGGAGATGGGAACAAAGGAGATTTCTGCTTTTTGACCAAAATACGCCGCTGACTCCTGGCAGTGTCCCAAAAGGTGACCAGGGGAATGGTCACCCTGGAGATGCTGTTTGGGCTGGATGTGTGGAAGGGGAGGGGGCCAGAGTCAAAGTGCTGCTACGGTTTTTGGAGGGAAATGGCCTCAAAAGCTGCCAGAGGTTCATCACTTCTCATCTGGGCCACGTTTTATCTGAAGGTTGAGGAGCTCCAAGAACACGGGTCACCCTCACTCCTGTTTTTAAGGGAATCTAGGAAAGAAAGAAAGGAGAACAGCCAACCTGGGCCAGGCCAAAGGTCTTTTTAACTCTGATCCCTGACTCCTGCACGTCCAGGAAGAGATGATTAG